CGTTTGATTTTGGCATTCTACGACATTGGTATAGTTTTTATTAATTTTTTTGTAACTTATGGTATATTTTTGCTCATTTTGCAACTGTTTTGTACGATTTACAGTACTGTATGGTTGAAAACCTTTTTTTTTTGGAAACGGCCGAAAATTCATGCGCGCGCGGATGTCATCCATATAATCAAATCAGCATGGCCTTATCAGCGCCTCACCTTTTATGGTCGTTGGCTTCAATCGTATCATCACACTGGTCTTAGGGGACACAGACTGAGACAATAAGAAAGCACTAAGCCATGTTTATCTCAATAGATATTGAAATCACATGAAATCATCTTAAACATGTACAAATGTATCACAAAGAAATACTCAGGAAAACACAAGAGATCCCAAATTACCATTTCGTAAAAAAAATGTACACAGCGTTTCCATCCCTGTACTTGTTGATCATATAATAATAATAGTTTATTGACAACAATCCTTGTACATGGCAGCGTTTAAACCGCTGAATTGCGTACACAGGTTTAAAAACAATTAAACAATAAGGTGAGCTAAACAAACAAAGGACATTGACAGACTAGGTACAAACAAATTAAACAAATACTAGCTGTACACAGTTATAAATTAGATATAGATCAGAAGTATCCGTAAGTGATTAAAAACAATATTTAACATGACTATAAACTTACCATATATGTAAATTCTTACTTGCCGTCTTAATTGAAATTTCTCCACAACTAAGGAAATTTCATGACATTATGACGTCACCGCATAGTTAGCTCTCGGATGTTATGGATCGGGAGGAGGCGATTCGAATGAAAGGTTTAACTGTAAAAGCCTTAGAAACGTCTGACACTCGTCATCACTTCTAGTCAGTCTAAAATCACATTTTGAATGACTAATCGCCTCTATAGGCATCAAAATAAGTTTCTAAACGACTGGCAATAGGTGACGTGACCTCATATGTCAAATTGCAGTAATATTTCCAATCTTTGCTTTAAATCTAAAAAAATCGTTTAAAGCGGTTCGCTTTTGTATGTCACTTCTTCCAAAATCTCATGAATATAGTAGAAAGAGGCAGGGGTCCTTCCCGGTGTCTTTAAAACGCAGCTTGTACTTTAAAAAACTAGAGTTTTATGACTAAAGGCGGTTTACCGGTTATTCGAAACAAGGAAACAAACAAAAACAATAGTGAAAAGTACATATCTTTAATAATAACATCGTTAAACGTCAAATCCCAGTATTTGTCCTTTTAGCCCCTATATCATGTTTGTTACAGATATAATGTGAGACTTGGAAATTTTCAGTTTTATCTTAGACTAAAGAAAAATGTTACAATGACCTTTTTCATGATATTTGCGTTAAAAAATCTCACCTCAACACCATTGGGAATTGCAGTTGACACGACGAACTGTGTAGTTCACATATAAAAATATGTCACCGTCAGGTCATTACAGGTGATCCCCACAGGCGAATCCGCTGTACGATTCTGCCAGGAAATACAGATTTTCCCGTTGAATAACGTGCAAAAATGGGGAGGCAAAAATTACAAATGATACTAATAACAAATGTAAACATAAACCAAAGAACAGGCAGCTTAGAATCCACATTTAAATTAGAGGTCATGTAAAGAAATACACAGAACTCATAACAAAATAGATAATACAAGTAAATAATTACAAATTTACACTTATACCAAATAAGAAACTAAGCAAAAAAACACGAATCAGTATTCAAAATCAGACTTCAGAGTTTTCGTTTATGTCAAAGAAATTTGTGCAGAGGTACCCCTAGTAGTCTTTTTTTTCGATTCCACAATAAAAGATACCAATCTGAATCTTTCAAAAAATATTTTAACAGTTAGTAGAAAATTCATCTAACAGTGACTTTTTTTAAAGATACCAAACACACATACAGACTTTTGACGTCCACTGTACGCCTTGATCAGGAAGTGACATATTCTCGCGAGAACACAAGAGCAGGTCGAGACTTCGACTCTCACTGTATAATTCTGTGAATGGTTTTGATGCTTTCCCTCTGTTAAGTTGACTTTCAGTATGTTAATTTTGTATGATTTACACTATTAACATTATGATCTGCTATTTTTGTGTATATGTAATCAACTTCATTACGTACAATATATATTGTTTTGAGTTCCATTATACTTATTATTTTTCTGACCTCTGACCTCTCCCATCTCGTTTTTAGTTGCGTTATTAATTTCTGTCAATCAGATATTTGGTTGGATAGCCTATTGTACAGTTGATTTATATTGATTTGATTTCTAATGTGATTTTCAGTTCAGTTTATGTAACTTAGAATAGTCTCTGTTAAGTCTGTTATATTATTTCATTATATTCCTTTGTTATATTTTGCATGTTTTTCAATTGGACTCCAGGAAGAGTAGTGAAAAATGTATTCAATAATGGAGATCTAATTAAACCAAACCAAACTTGTGTAGCTCTTCTGTCTTCCCGTGCCTCCTTGTGAAAAAAAGTGATCTGGAACCAGTTTAGCTCATTGAAGACCTAATCTTCCACTGGTCATGACAGAGAAGACAGACGCTATGTACAGTATTTACAGGTTCATTGTACTGGGGAAATTCCCCTAGCTCTTTTTGACAAGCACAGTGAACAGTGGACCACGGCTTAACGTCCCGTCCGAAGGACTGCGACCCTAAACAGTAGCGTAAATGTCGGGTGAGCGACATCAGCTGGGATTCGAACTCCCAACTTCTTAGTCCAGAGACAGGATCGCTAACCATTGGACTACACACGCTACTAGTAGTAGGCGTAAGTTGGAATTGGGCAGCTCCAGATCCAGAAGAGCTACACAAGTGTCAAACTCGTTTTGTTGGAGACGGGTTTGCTAATTTGAATGTACAGGTTTGCTACCTTTCACAACAGTCACTATTTGACGAATTTTCTACTAATTGTTAGTCTATACGTTACTGATGAACCTCTTCAACAACAACAACAAAAAAAAAAAACTTGGTTGAAGTCCCTACCAGAACAGGTGCAATCGCTCAGCCTTTGCGGGTACAATCCTCTGTCAATTCACTCAGATCCTAAAGTAAACATCGTATGCACCAGATGTTTGACTAGAACATTAGAGAGACGACTAACCGGGTAAATATCCCCATTTTTGACCGATGGTGCAGTGAGAAAAGCGACGATAGCACCTCCTGTAATAACCAAGACTGCCACTGCAACAGTGATGATGATGCCACGAAGCAGATCGGAACGCAGAAATGTTAAACATGCCGAATCTGTTGAAAGTTAATAGTTAACTCTTATTCAAGTAGAGAATTTATGCCAACTAAATAGTTTCTTAGTGAAAATAGATTTTGCCATAGTAGCCAATCTTACACGTCATCCTAAGGTTCTAAAAGAAGAACAGCACAGAACTAGAGTTCAACCATCTCATACCTTCGACAAATAATCTTCAGAGAGCAGTTCTAGCATTTTTTTATATTAAAATTATGCAAAAAAGACCCTGATTCGCATGGTTTATGAAATCTAAGTGTTACAAGTGTAAAATCCTCTCAATTTAGCACTAAGATAAGTTGGTGAAAGTTAGCACTAAGATAAGTTGGTGAAAGTTCCCAAACTGGATGGATTTTTAATCAGTAGATGTTTCAGGTGTACATCCGACACATTTCATCAGTACAATTGAATGTTTACACAGGAATTTATGGAACAAATTGGAAGTAAAAAAAATGCCCTTTTTTCGTTTTTCGACCTAAGCAACACTTGTCGGATTGAAGATTTTCAAAAAAAAATTTGAGGCCTATTTAAATCAACTGTTTGGTAAATGTCGAGTGTTATAGAATAAAACTATGAAACTGTTTATTGTTTTTTTAAACAACTTAAAGACTAGCTCCAAGGAAACTACGCGCGGGAGCCCCTGTAACATTATACCCTTCCTTCAAATACACCCTACAACCCTAGCCACAGACCACAGTGTTTCCTCATAAATTATGCAAATGAGTTAGCTTATTGCATAATTGATATTCTACGATGTTCCTCTCTTCCTTCTAAGTTGGTTACATATGTCACAACATCTGATGTTCTATAGGGAAATACAGGTGACTTATCAAAGTTTTATACCAATTATGCAAAGTAGACACTTATTTGCATAGTTAAAGAACATCTCATTATGCAAATCTTCACCTTACCTATCTACATACCAAAAATCTTGACAATCCATCAATCCCTAGTTATCATCTTCCTAATATTTTACGAAAAACGGTCCTGTAGTTCCATAACAAGCTGCTATAGGAAGCCCAAACCTATGCCACTTTTTTCCTGTTTCAAGGGCTATCTATCAACCAAAAATCGTAACCCTAGAAATGTACAGATATCGAAACTGAAAGTTCTGGTGCAGTACGTACAAAAGCCGCTAATCAAAAGGGCTCAAAAATAATAGTTTCTTCTTCTCACCAATCCCTACCCAAATATCAAATATGATTGTAATGCATCGGAAGTGACAAATGAAAAACACTATTATTACTACGCTTTGGCTTTTTAGCTATGCTTATGATTTACCAATCAGATCTTAGTAAGGGTTCTGAGTGAAAAAAAACATATACTAGTATACAAATATGTATACCTTTGTTGTTATCTTGTCCAGGTAAGTTATTTGTGTTGTTTGTCGTATGAGAGCCGCCCTGTTGATCGCTACTGGGCTGTGTAGTGTCTCCCTCCTCATTAGCCGCCTGTATGTCCTGACTGGCCTGCCGTAGGTTGTTGATGTCGTCCCGGTCAACATAATTGTACGTGTGACTGTCAGGGTCGTCATCGCAGTCATCAGGAGCAACAGGGTCAGCCTCAGTTTCCTCATGTTCGGTACGATTGGCCGGTTGTTCTAAGTAGAAAATTAAAAAAAAAAAAACAGGTCTATCCGTGCTCTATGCAGAGCATAGGGTTTTGGTGCCCATGTTCATTTCTGTAGCCCTTGGGCGACACACAGTTGTGCAGGGCACTACAGCAGGGGGCTAGTCCGCTGGTAGTGCTGTGTGCTTGACCTTCCCACACTCTTTCAAATATGTGCTGAGTGCTAAACAGAGAAAGAAGTGTGTACCATTTTTTAAAGTCTTTGGTATGACCCGGCCGGGGTTTGAACTCACGACCTCCCTGTTTGAACTCATGGCCGGTTGTTCTAAGTAGAAAATTAAGGAGAGGATTTAAAAAAAAAATTAAATGTATGTAAAATGCTTTTCTCTACCAACGCGTATTACGTTTTACCATTACGTTATAACTTAACTGCCAAAGAAGAAGAATAAATCTAACAAACAGCAGAACTCCCTGTATGAATTTAGGATTAGTGTATATTTACATTGATTACTACTTTTTGCAGGCAATTCTTAGATAAGCTTTCTTAGGCGAAGTACTTATTGGTCAGCCAAAGGCAATTATAATTATGATTATACCCCCCCTTTCTGCTCTACTTCTCCCGCGGGGAAAGCTATAAATGCCCTTAAAGTTCAACACAATTATAATTGAGTGTTGGCTCTGTGTAGTTTGGCAGCCATGGTAAAGTAAGCAGCTAGTTACACGTGTAAGTTTATGTCATGCTGTAAATCCCTAGTGCTACAATGTCACGATTTCTATTTCTTCACCATATCTTCCTTGTCTGCTAGAAAAAGATATAAAGGCTTATACTAATTTTCTTTACTACAAAGTAGATATAAAGTCTACATTTCAACACTTACATGCGTATACCCCACACTCATTATATATTGCCTCCCACGCAGGGATCGCTTTGCAATAAAAATAATTATTACTGTGAAAACACACCCTCAGTCTACAATCTTCTTTCAACAAATTGAGAAAAGCATTATTTGATGTAGGTAATTGATCTCGAAAGAACTACCAAAACAATCATGCTTGTTTTTAAACTCACCCTCCCTTGCTCCAGACTAATGTTTATACTATAAACGAGTGGTTGTTGCCTACAGGCTCTACGACCTACAGGGCTTCGGAACGAATTTCTGGGACTTAACATAAATCCTTGCTAGAAAATATTTTAGAGCGTTCCTCTGAGCTTCTATATAACTGCTATCAAGTACGTATGTTTTCTCT